CAGTCTTCACTTACTTTCTGATAGATATAAGCTTGTACAGTGTATGTACCTCGGTATGTACTCACCTTAAATGCATCTACGCTGTATATACCATTCATCTCTCCTCTTCTCTCTCTTCTCTAGTTCTTCCCTCTTTTCTTCTTCTTTTCCTCTCTCCAAGTCTCTCTCTCTTTCCCCCTCTCTCTCTCTCTCTCTCTGTCAACCCCACCTNTAGTCGCAATCATATAAACCGCTTGCAATTCCTTATAAATATAAACTGCAAGAAACAGCGCTTAAAGATCAGTCAAATAGTCATATTCTCAGTTCATTTAAATTTGTAATAAAGTTATTAAAAAGAGAGAGAGATATAAGTCAGTTGCATCGTTGATGAATTAGTAGAATCAACCATATTCATCAAGTCACTTACCCCTTCAGGCTGCATGGCGTCCTGAGCACGTGCTGTGCACGTTAAGTAGATGTATCCGCGGCCACGTAGCAGTTAATGTACAATATGCACGCTCTGTTTTGGTACAAATTGACTCTCCAAAAAGTAAAAAAAAAAATGCATTCTTTTAACCCACCAACCCTCTCTCTTTCTCTCTCTCTCTCACACACCATTTCATTTCGACCATTTCAGTGGAACACGCAGAATCCACGAGGCTTTGAAACTCCAACACTCTCCCTGCGGTATTTCCAGCCAGTCGCACCTTCCCTTTTTCTCTCCAGCTGACTTGAGTGCCGGCGGTATGGACAAGGTGAGCTTTATACGGGATGGTTCATCACCTTATCTACAACTACTTCTCACGCCTGGGAATGTGACACGTGCCCCGTGAGGAAAACACATGGCAGCGTCGGTTTTTCCCCACGCTGTTAAGACACACGAGCTGGCGTGGAAATTGGCCGTGAGAAGACGACATTGGCGTTCTAGATGTTGAGGTATATGTGGGAGATGTTTGTGACCCAGGACGACAAGCTGTTACCACCTCCCTCGGGAAGGACGCGCACGAGCCCTCTCGTAAAAACTGACGCACGGATTAAACACCCCAAGTTTGATCATCTTTGCTGTATGATCTGCTACTCCACAATGCTAGTTGTTGCTGTTCTTATTATTGGAGATGAAGTGAAAAGAAATCGTATTATAGAATAACATTAAAACCAGAGATAGGAGCGTGAATAAACTAAGCAGATACGGTTGCTGTAGTAATCGAGTAATGCTATGCTTCACATCACAAAGGATCAGGTGTCTTAACTATCTATTTTCATTTTATTGTATGCTTTGTGAATAATACGAGCGGGGCATGAAACGTTCAGGGTTGTACGTTTACCAAGTTTCTATAAACCACTTCATAGATTAAGGAATATATACCGTACAATTTCTTTCTCTTAAGATGAAGCACCTAATTCGTGATGATTATTTCCCCCGAGTCACAGTTAACAACATTGCATCACGAAACAAAAGTCTATTACAACACAAAACTCTTTTTTCGTTGCTCCAAACCTTATTTTGAAAAATCCTCGCCCATGCCAAGTTAAAACCTTGCGCCTCCCCCCCCCCCCCCATCCTCCCCCTCTCCCTGGTCGTTACTTGTACACCAGCGTTTACAGGTGTGTGATTCAATATCTTTTCTGTTATTGGTACTTTGATAATGTACTCACTGAGTCAATACCACTCTCCTTCCAAGATAGTCGCCGCGCAGTTTGTAACTTTTAACAAGAATAAATTCACCAAATGCGTGAATTGATGGTTGTCATTAATAGCATTATGAAAGGTGACCCAAAGCAAATAGAGCCAGTGAGAGAATTGACACCTTTAATAAATAGAGCAATCCGTTATTAAGGACCAAACAGTGCAGTCTGCTCGTCTTCCGTTGTGAATAAGATTTCGTGGAAAGACCTCTTGTGACATCAAAGAAAAAGAGCAGAAATAGCTTAAAAACGATTGCATCGGTCATTGGCAGTGTGACAAAGTAGGCAGAGAGAGAGAGTGGCATGACGTCAAACTAGGGCACGCACGCATGTTATCGCACGCGGTGAGCGCGGACACGCGGCGGTAGTACGGATGGGTGGAACGGAAGTGCTAAAAAGTGGGGAAAATGAGAAAGGAAGAATAAAATCCTTTCTATATTGCTGGTTACCTAATAAATTATAAGATGCTGATTATCAATATACATCCCATTTGAGATAATACATGTAGGCCTATAGTGAACTGGTCCACAATTGAATTAATCTATTTTCATACTAAAATTCTAACAATATTATATACGAATACTCTGCCTCTGACCACGAGTAAGAAACACGTTCAAAGTTGTCAATATATACGTATAAACACCTGTAGTGTCACCCCCGCGGCCTATCCTCTTCACTTGACAAGACCACCTGTTACATTTAGATTTACACCACGAATAATCAATATTGGACTTAGCATTAGGACCTACCCCTGCTCCTCATGGCTTCACCAGCCATGAAATATCAATATTGAAATTAGAATTATAAAATGTTCAAGATGGCAGATTCACGCGGGCGTAATGTCGAATTAGGTTTTTTTCCTCATGAAATAAAACTGAATCCAAATAAAAAATGACAAGTGAGGTTATTCAAGGCTAAAAATAAATAAACGAACAAATTTATGTTGCATGATATACATGCACCCCTGTACCTTTTACATAAAATGCACCGTCTCTCAATTCTTAGCAATTATATGTAATACCTTATTCGCGCATCTCTCTAAAAAGATGTTTATTCAAACGAAAATAAAAGTAGAAAATAAAATAATCAGTTGAAGGTGGACACGTGTCTTCTTTAACAATGTCAACTTGCTTATGACGCGTGAAGCTAGAACGTAGTATGCATGTATATTGCGTTCTAGATTGAAGCTTACCAAAACGACATTCACGGAACGTGGATTCCTACATCAGAAATGTCTTGAGTGTCTATTTCTCAGATGCAGTACAATAATGTACTGTTTTTTGTTCGGCTCTCAGTCTTATATTTCTAAGATTCAAATTAAAAACCATCAATTCCTTCTTCGACCTTTCATTTTTCTATTCCCTTATAGGCCTAAGCCTGCGCATACATGTGCTCGGCACGATAAGGTACCCGGTAGAGATGGGAGAGATGGTGTCACTGCAAACAACCTTCACTAACGCACAAGTACATTATAGATAAGTGTATGTACATATGAAAGTGTGGATTAATTATCCAGTATGAGTAGGCCTATATAAGACTGCATTCTCACAGATTTAGATCGATCCATCTGGATCGACCTAACTCCCTGGGGGTTCATGCTAAATTGCTGTCAGCCGAGCGACCACGGAAGTTTATTACCCCCTTACAGCTTTTAGTAGGCAGGACAGACGCTTAAGCCAGCTAAGCTGACAGTAATCTAGTGAGACTCCCCACGGGGATAGATCGGTCTAAAATCTGTGGGAATGCAGTCTTACTCTCTGACCACAGGGTGCGCTAGTAGTCTGTTTCAGAATGTTCAGTGGCTCACATTGCAATATGTATACTATCATAGGAGCTCCTGATATCAGAGGGTATAGACCTATATGTACCGTATAGCTAAAAAAAAACACGACTATTGGTACGCGTATGATCGATAACTGATTTAATTCTCGTAAGATTACCATCCGCCCCCTTCCTTATGAATAGGTATTACTTTATTAATACAATGCAACCGTCGTGTAGCCGCATGTTAGAAGACAATGTTTGATTACGCACAGCAGTAGGAGGCCGCTACCCCTTCCCAGCAAGGAGTCAACACAGCAGCGCGTAACCCGGGGTTAATTAGGGGTTATTAGCTGTCCACTTATGATCGGTATTGTTCGTCTTGATTGCAGCACACTTCCTACTCACTATTGGTTCGACCGCCTCTTCTTTAAATGCTCTCTCAAACCTTTCCTCAGTCAGCCGAGAATGGAAACACGTTTATCTGCCGATAAACTACGTCGTTGATGTATTATTCGGCATCATTCTACAGTGGGTCATAAGGCTCTATCTATCATTTTTTTCGTCTCGCATTTTACCAGATTAAGCTGACGCTCGAAAACTAAATTTAATGAATAATTTTNACGCAAGTTACAAAGCAAAACATGTTTAGTCAAGTTAAAGACTTAATTACCGGTTTAACTTCGGCGGCAGTGCCTACTGCTGTGAGCAACATGCGCTGTCCATCGTAATCCCCCTATCATTAACACTGTCGGGGACGTGCGCATTAGCGCGTCTGATGTAGACAGCGTGTGCTATTAAAGTGACCGGGGACTTATTAGCTATAGTGTATATAAGGCAAGGCTAGTTAATTAGTTCATATTCAGTCTCCACGCAAAGCGGACGTTATTGAGGTAAACGTGCATATGCCCTTCAGATACCTGGGCGTCGACAGTCTGATTTATAATTCACACACACACATAGGCCTAGCTATACACACACACGCACTCATGCACGCACGCACCCACACACATGCAAGCACGCAGACATTCACCCACACAAACACGTACACACACACCAGACACACACACGCAGGCAGACAGCTCAATGGGTGGGTGTATGGATAGTGGAAAATTAAATTAATGAAGAGAAATAAACAGGCAAGAAAGTGGTGAATTTACTTTTTCATTGTGAATGCTGAGTTATGTTGTATTAATGCAGCTGCCTCAGTGATGTACAGTAATGACAGCCAACGCAAATATTAACTTTCATACACGAAGCTCAACATACAGTAGCTCTTCGCCTGAATAAATTCATCAATAATATGCTGGTAGATTGTACGTTTACTTAGCGTGTTCAAATAACGCAATTGGCGTATTAATTAAAAACAAGTTGAGAACACGATCAGAGGCCGTTGTAAATCATTACACACTGGGGCAAGCGCACGCGAAACGAGGTAGAGCCAATAAACGCTACAGTGTGTTTAAATGACCAAGAAAACACTGCCGTCAGCAGGGCGCTGTTCATATAAACATCCAATCAGAGCGCGCCGTTTATCCAGACACAGGCGAACTGCACAGCATAGAAAGTAGGCCACCAGCGTTTATTGAATAAACACTCGCGATCACCCCTTTCTGATACCATTAGCAAGTAGTTTCTGTACTAGGAGGCGGGCACCGTTGATTTCTGGATAATGTTATTCAAGGTTTGGGACAGAACAAGATCAAAGAGGAAATTCATCGTCGCTGCGAGTCTAAATGAACTGCAGCAGAAAGGTGAGATCAAGCTAATCGCCTCCATATCGCTGATATACTGGCCGACTACCAGTAGTAGTAGCAGTAGGATCTCCATCAGGCCCGTAGGTAGCTATTGGAAAAGGGGGGGGAGGGGGATGTCCTCTTTCTGTAAATGTAGATCTTTTGTCATTAAACCAACATCAAATTTACCCAGTGTGGGCCTTTTCATAGTAAGAAAAGGGGGAGGGTCTTTTGAACCGCAGTTGCAATGGTTTAATTAATTATTTCATCTAAAGACCTATATTCTACATGTACGTACTTGATTGGTACTTATGTCACATCTTGCCATCACTTAAATCAGCTCGCTCTGTTATTTCTTACTTCATTGTGTGAACGCGTCTTGGCTAAAAGATACGAGCAATAAGAGAAAAAATCATTTGATGTCGTATAAAACCGTTTAGAAGCCTGCCCTCTGGTGTCAGGGCTGCTTTAATAGTATACAAAATTATGGTATGTGCTATACAATAATTTAGAATCAGCTTACTTATACACCCTGTGGTAAGACAGAATAGTGTAGGCCTACAATAATGCACGCTTTCTACTAGGTGCCATCCCTTAACACACGCGCGCGCGCGCATGCACGCACATGCACACTCACTTAATCGCCAATTATAGGCTCATTCTGAATGAAACTATTGATCTACATAGACTGTTCCAACTCTGCGGGGACTAAATGCAGTCAAATTATTTTTTTTAACAGTCACCCTTTCCTTGATGAGTTATTATCAGTGCTTTTCATATGCCAGTATTCTATCTGCGTTGCCTTTGTGTAACTCAAGCTTGTGATGTGTTAAGACTTAATTAATGCCAGTAAATAAGCCTATTCATACTTTTACAGTAGCTTAGTTCATTCATCGTGCCGTGACATATACCAGCTTACACTTTACAATGAGTGTACTGGGAGTATGTGCAAATTTCATGATTATTGACTAATTTAATTTGATATGTATGATAATTAAGCAGATGGGATCATATTTTACGTCTGGGTTTCAATGTGTTGGAAGTTCATATTTTTCTCCTGAGTTTTCAGAGTGTGAGAAGCTCGTATTTTTCACTGGGGTTTTCAGGGTGTGAGAAGCTCATATTTTTCACTGGGGTTTTTTAGGGTGTGAGAGGCTCATATTTTTCAATGGGGTTTTCAGGGTGTGAGAAGTTCGGTGTGGTCCGTCCCAGGGTGGTCACTGAGAGCGATGGCACAGAGGTGGAGGAGGACGAGGTGCTGGTCGAGTTAACCAACGAGGTCCTCATCATATTAGGGGACGCGGAGGTCTGGGAACCACCGGACGCTGCGGTCACTCCATGTCCAGCGCGGAATGTTAAGGACAATCCAGTGTCCACAACTGTGAAGACGTGGTCAGGTAAGGGAAATACCAGTGCACGTGCAGGTCCTGAACACAAAGCAAAGAGTATCTGAACATCACGCTGTCTATGTCTGTCTGAGGTTAACGCCAATTAAAAATAGGCCTTGTGGTAGAGTGTGTATAATGAATACATTTTATCTTTCATTATCTGTTAGCTGAAAAAGCGCATGTAAAACCATTATCAAAAACTTGTAACCGTATTACAGCTCCAGCTCCCGTTAGCCCTCCGCCAAGACGACAAAGTCCCCAGATCAAGAGACCCGTGCAGACACCTCAAGTGAGGGTGACATGTGCCGCGACCACACGGCGTTCACCTCGACGACATCTAGGTGTCACTAAGAGAGATACAATGCCGGTAAAAGAGTGCAGGAATGAAGAAGTGGTGTTGCTGTCCGACTCTGATGACTCTGGAGACGAGGTTAAGAACATCACTGGCACAGGTACTTAATGAAGTTTTGTGTAGACCTACACCCCTCAGTGACAAGAGGTCATTTTGTATTAAAGCGTTAGTGCATGTTATCCCGCTTATGTTATCGATTTTTGGTAAATTAAATAATCTTCTTAAGCTTTTTTGGTGAATACGCAAGTGCATAATTTGATTTCTTTAAAATAATTTCATCAATTGTGTTATGGAAAATAAACAACGGTTTCGAAACTAGCTGTTGATTGAAGAAAAACTCTGTTTTATTATTTGATGAATTCACTTTGAAAATTATTATTTTATTTATTTAGGAATACTGATATTCGACCTTTATATATGTGATTTTTTTAGAATGACACGTATAACAACTACAGATATAAAAAAAATCTTATTTTTTAAAAAATGTCGTTTAAATTCAAGAGTACATTACAATAACATGACTGTAAACGTGGTAACTATCCAGAGATACGTGTTATTACCAGATAGCCCTCTCACCATTCAAACAAAAACATGTTTTTACTTGATATATTTTAATATCTATACATTTTATTGAAATATATTCTTTGAATTTTTAAAAATGTCACTACAATTTAGGAGTGCATTCCAATAACATGACATATGTTATTACCAGGAACCCCTCTCACCAGTCAAAGACGGGGACCACCAGGGGCAGTACCCAACAGACCACCCCAAACCTCACCGGTCACCGGAAGTCTGGACCACGGCCAGTTGACCAGATCTCAGTCCAGTCAGGGTAGTGTTGGAGACGGCCCTCTTCCCACAGGACATGATGGTAAGGTGTCTGTTTTGGGCCCTTTTCATAGTTGTGCTTAATAAGATACAAATGTACCGGTTTACCTCGAGGTCCCATCATGCAATTACACTACGTGGGACTTTACTGTCTTTCACATGTTCTCCAAAAAGTTCGCTTCCCGTTCAGTTAGCATAGTTAATTAATTGAGCGCGGACGTTCCGTTCAAGTAACCTCACTTAGGGCCCCTTTACACTGGACGGCGTCCTTTCTGCGTCCCTTCTGCGTTGAAAAATGTGGTCAGGACGCTCAACGGTCGCCAAAGCAATTAAATCGTGTCTCAGTGTAAAGGCGTCTGCGTCCCTTGTGCGTCCTTTGACAGACCGAATCTTGATTTTACCTGTAAATCTGCGAGCAACCTGCCTGCCTCCACTGTAGGTCCTCTGTGCAACCCAAGGCGTCCATTGCGATGTTTGAGCGACCATTGAGCATTCTCGCTGCGTTCTCTGTACCTTCATCGGCGATCAGTGGCGTCTATCCTACGATCATTCTGCATCCTGCTGGACCGATGAGCGTTGTTTGGGCGTCCTTCTCTATATTCTAACTCATATTTTTTCATCGGTTCTAACCAGGTCATCCATTAAAGAACATTTCCAGCACACAAAACAAATAAATGGGAATAAAAGCTTTAAACTATAGTGATGCGAGGTGTACATGGACTGATGATCAGCCAGACGCTCATTGTTATCCTGGACAGGCGCCGAAAACGAGAAAGTATGACTGACACAACATAGAATGTTTGAATCCGTTATCAAATGACACATTCTGCAAAAAGTTCTGACAATTAGGCCTAATGCATCTTGAAAAAAAAGGCAAAATATTCGTTTTATAATATCCTAAAAAAATGGATCGTTTCATGAATTTTAGGGGAAAAAACAATCGGAGGCTGATATGAGACCACTGTTGCCCTTAGAATTCCTGTCTGGTGGAAAATACCTCAGCACGGCCCCGTTTGAGAGTGAAATAAAATAATGTTCTACGTGCCGAACACTGGACGATCTTTGAGTTTTCATTCTGCAACCAAAGCGATGCTTGTGCCTCCTTTCTACGACCGCGGCGATGCTTGTGCGTCCTCTCTGCGACCACGGCGATGCTTGTGCGTCCTTTCTGCGTCCATTGAGCGACCATCCTCCATCGCGTTCTCTCTGCGATTGTTTTGAACATGCTCAAAACTTCGCGGCGCCCATGGCGTCCTCGGCGATGCTTGAACGTTCTTTGTGCGACCTTGGCGATCACTGTGCGTTCTTTGAGCGTCCGACGGCGTCCTGGCCAGTTTCATGGTCGCACAAAGGACGCAGAAAGGACGCCGTCCAGTGTAAAGGGGGTTTTACGCAACAGACAAGCTATTGAGTTGACAGTCTGTCAAATTAGACCGGTAGAGCTGTGTCCCTCAATGTGGAAAGTTCCTGTAATCAAGTATTTTTGATCGTTCAGAACCAATGTGGTTGACCTATGCATTTCCCAGATATTTTTCGGAAGTTAAAAGCGAGTGGTATGCTGTCCTATTCTTTTTACGAGTAACTCCGATCACAGCCTTGTCTTGTTGTTGAATGACGTGTGTAATAATATTTTTTGCTGGCGGTTATGAATGATCCTGAATAACTGTTTCAGTTGGGGTCCAGAACTACAGCGGAAGTGTCACAGCTGACGTCACCAAGGACCCAGATGAGTTGGCATTGCCAGTGTTTTCTTATTATGTGGAGGCATCTCTGAAAGCAGGTGATATGTCTTATCCACCTTAAGAAACATTCAGTTTTTGCATGAGGAAGAGATACCACGTTTTAACACACACACACACACACACACTACACTGAGTAAATAGTTAATCTGAAATCTGATAAATAAATTCAATGAATAGATAAAATCAGAAATAGATAGTTACTGTAATCTAATTAATAAAGAGCAAAATAAGATAAGGTGAATAGTAAAGGAACAATAAAAGAAATATGGTTCAAATAAATGGTAGATTTAATCTCCCAATTATACAAAACTTTCAATATCGGTGTGACAGGAAAGGAAGTTCTAGAAATGGAAGTCCGGGCTACCACATGATTAGTACTGGTTAGGGTTAGTTGGAGTATTAGAGTTAGTATATGGGACGAATGCCACCCGTACAAAGTAATGGGGAGCGGATTACGGTTCCTAGCGGTCTACCATTCCTGTCACACCGTAGTCATTGACTGGGTTCCCATACCTAGATCGATCTCACAGGATCAGTCCATCTCCAAGGGGTTTCTTGCTAAATTACTTTCAGCTTTAGCGGCTTACATGTCTGGCACGCCTACTTAAGCTGCTCAACGACAGTTAATTACCCATTATCAGCTTCAGGAGGCGTGACAAACATCTAAGCCGCTTAAGTTGATTGCAATTTGGCGAGAGTCCCCTCGGAGATACAGCATTGGTCAAAAAGGTTGTCCCACCCCCATTTTCATGTACTTTTGTTTACAAATGATCACCTAACAGCTGTTAATTGTTAAAATAGTGTTTTTTATTACGTATACCGTGTCTAACATGATTAATTCACACACAATTAGCATTAGGGTGTGCTCATTAAAGATCACGTGCCTAACAGCGTGTGCGTCTACCGCGTACTGCAATTATTTCCTGTAGACGGCGCGACAAGCCTTCAACACGGGTTACAATTCTGTTTTATGGGATATTGTCCCATTCTTCTTACACAAGTTGGGGGAGTTGGTCCACGTTTTTATGGGGTTGGTTCTCCTTTGCATTGCAAACTCCAATACATGTCACAGTTGATTAGTAAGTTTGATATCAGGGCTCAAAGATGGTGGTTCCATCCTTAGACCATTATGTTTCTTCAACAAACAGTTGCCAGGCGAGAGGTGTGAGCAAGTGTGCAGTCATGATAAAGCCTGAAGTTAACCCCAAAGTCAGTTCTTGAAGATGGAATGAGATATCAGCTGAGAATGCTACGTTCAGTGATCCCACAGGCACCTGAACCTGGCCATCCATCACTGGAAGGAAGTTGATTTTGATGCAGAATCAAATTATTTCTTGTATCCCATCGATGGTCAAAGAGGGTCCATAGACATGTTAAAAAATGCCTCTTGGAAGGGTGCGTGCAGGATAATATCGCCTGAGGTGTTAGATCAATCCGCATTTGGAGAACATTCCAAGCCCATGGTATTAGTACATTGTTCCTTTTGGAACAAAACGTAACAGGGGCATTTTGATGTAACATTCTCAACAGAAATCTCATTCCATTTGCAAGAGGTGACTTCAGGGATACTACTGGCTTCATTGTGACGACGCACTTGCTCACAGCTCTCGTCTGGCAAACGATTTGTTGCAGAAACACAGGGCTCTGAGGATGGGACAACCGTCTTTGAGTCCTGATATTAATCCTACTGAGCACCTGTGGCATAAATTGGAATGTGCATTGCAGAGGAGAACCAATTCCTAAATAATCTTGACCAATTCCGCCACGCTCTTTAGGATGAATGGGACAATATCCCACATAACAGAATTGTTACCCATGTTGAAGGCTTGTCGCGCCGTCTACAGGAGATAATTGCAGTACGCGGTAGACGCACACGCTGTTAGGCACGTGATCTTTAACGAGCACACCCTAATGCTAATTGTGTGTGAATTTGGTGACATTTGATGGCACCTTTTCAATTTTATAGACATTTCTTTACATCTGTAGAAGTAACAGTGAAACAGTCGATTTGAGGGGGTACCTCTTATAAATTTTACTAAATGGTATAAAATATGTATATTTTCACCACTATTTTGTATTTTTTTAACCATTAATCATGTTAGACACGGTATCCGTGATAAAAAGAACTATTTCAAACAGTTCACAGCTGTGAGGCGTATCATTTGTAAATAAAAGTACATGGAAATGGGGGTGGGACAACCTTTTTGACCAATGCTGTATATACATGTACCTGTATATAAATATGTTTGATAAGATCTATTGGAGATATTTAAGCACATTTAAAAGACACTCACTCAGAAACAGAGTTTTCAATATCGCTTAATTTGGGATCAGGAATGGACTTAGCAGTGGTCCTCACCCTCGNAGGTGATCATTTGTAAATAAAAGTACATGGAAATGGGGGTGGGACAACCTTTTTGACCAATGCTGTAGATCTATCCACAGTTAGTTCGATAGGGTCTGGGAATGGTCTCTCTGTCTATCTGTGTTGTAGGCAAGTCGGAAGCAGTGTGGCACCGCCTGGTCCAGGAGTCAGCACTGTTCTACACCACACACTATCCACGCCGTGTGAACGACGCCACCGAGTATCGACGCATTGGGAAAACCATGTATGAGACGTATCCGTGTATAGGACACGATGGACAGGAACCTTGGGTTTGTATATTGCTTTAGGCCTCGTTCCCATAACCCGCTGTGTTAAGTTATAAGAATGATGTGATTTTTTCTTCAGTCAACAGCTAATATTGAGGTAGGGCACAACTTAACCCAGCTGATGAAATTCTTCTCTGACTTACATACTAAGTATGGGTCTCCTGAGTAGAGGCTGTTCACCTGGATAGCCTCATTCCCTGAAGAAGATTACCTGCTAGACATCGAAATATTGGAGGTGAAACCTATCTCAATATAAGCTGTTGATTGAAAAAAAATCACATCATTCTTATAACTTAACACAGCTGATGAACTTCTCTGACTTACATTGCATTCAGTTTAAGCGGTTTAAATGTCTGGCATGCCCCCTCATTACTTAAAGTACCTGGTTAAAGTCGGGGAAAACTTTAAAGACCATGATGTTGCTTTGCGAGGTGGCGTACCAACACATTAATATATATTTATAATTTCATGCAGCATCAAAAGATTTGAGAGTAATTTTTACTTAATGAGATGTTTGTCAAAAAGTAAAGTTTCGTCCATTGCGGCAAAGCAGTTATAACAGTAAGAGTCAAATCAACTTTCAGTTACTTCGGGTATTGGTGAATAATAAGACGATAGAAGGTGTGAAATGATATTCTTGTGGACAGCAAAATTTTGGCCTGTCAAACTTCCAAAGTTAATATTTTGCTTTGTTATTTGGCATTTATTTAAATTGATGTGTTGTTCATATACGTCAGTTTAAGCTGGACGTTTTACTTTTCAGTCGCTATTTGTCAAGTGTTTGAGTCAGCGAATACGTCGTATAAGATGGGAAAGGAAAAAGTTTGCCGACAATGTAACCAAACCTACCGGAACGAGCCTTCAACCAAAAGAATCCGCTGACCACATCAACAAAACATCGTCTCTTTCCGGTTCGATCCGAACATTCCCGGAATCTACCGCCATTTCTGATCAAGAACCGGAACCCAAGTTACCGAAAATTTTAGACATAAAAGGCTTGGATAAGGAGGACTGTATACAGCCTTTCTCTTCACACACGTGGAAATACAACATAACCGAACAAACGCTTGCGGAGACGGACGATAAACAGCCGGACTTGTACGAGAACTTACCCGAAGAATGCCGGAAACAGATCGAGGAAATCCGAGTGGCTTGGAACACGAACGATATAATTATCAATGCGAACCACGTGCAAGACGTGCTGTCCACCACTTATGAAAGTCGACAGAAATGGATACGAGTGTTAAAGACGAAAAAGTTGAAAACCATCTTAAAGCTTTACCCTTGTTTTGATAACGGGGATTACGTAAGTTGTCAAGGGTATTCCTAGAAAAATACTCTAAATTTTTCATTTATTTCCAGTTATTTAGGAAAAATGACGCCATGTCAAGAATTTGAAACTTACGAGAAATCTGCTGTGAAAGTGAAATGTGGAACTTCTTGTAAAAAATGAAATTTTAGCTAGTAAACATAATCACTGATGTGTTTCTTTTTACAGCTTCTTTTCGAGATGGGTTTAAAGTTTGGGTCTGAAGAGTATGAACGAATAAGACGCTTGTTTCCCGTTTTCATTCGTGGATTACAACAATTGGCGATTGAAGACCTAAAAGTGGTATGTTTGTCAAAGGAATCGGTTTCCATTAAATTTGGAATGCTTTTCTTTTGATAGACGTGACTTTTTTTAATTTTTTAGCGTAAAATTAAGGATGTATTTTAACAAAACACCTATTTAAAAGTTTGAATTGCAGTAAGTATAGATGCTGCTTATATTTTTTGGTTGTAAGCATTTAGATTCAAAAGATTTGCTGACGCGTTTTAGAACCGAACTGGTTTAACTGAGAACCCATTCGAACAGGTCTATCAACTGTAGCCATGCTGAGACCATTATGTAAAAAATATTTTTTCAGTCTGACGATGACGTCTTCGGCATGGTGCGGTACATGGAAGAAGAGACAAAGTTTGAGAGAGGCAAAGGAACCAAAACAAAGTCCATACTAGTTTTGTGCCAGGCATGTCTCTGTTTATTTGTTTTATTTTTACATAATTATTTGTCTATTTGTTATGAAACTTAGAACATTCAGGACAGTGAAATGATAATGATATCTTCTCTGACAAATGGCAATATGTGGCTAAAACATATTATACAGTCCGTCTTATTTTGTGTATACATATCCTCGTCAACATTCTGCTATTCACTTATTATTTTTATTTAATTCTTTCGATGTTTTTTTTTTCACTTCAGGGGAGTGATCAGCCACCACTGACAAGTGTAGAAGACGCCCCTTATCTTGCTGTTTTCCGGTCAGAGGACAATGTTCTGCAGCACACATGCGTCATTGCCAATGGCTGCCGGATTGAAGTCAAGTCCAATTCCGCAGAGCAAGCTGTGCTGGTGCTGCTGGCGGTCTACTGTTGTTTTCAACTAGAATACCCGAAGGAATACTCGCAGATTCTAGGGATATTTCAGCAGTATCTGCTAGGGATCCCGTACATGGGGATAAAGTCGAAAAAATATTTATTTTTTTCAAAACGATTGGCAGCCAAGTTGTGGACTTTGCAATCACCTGAGTAAACACCCCCTGGAGATATGACTTAAAATTGTACATGGGACAGTCGTTTTTTTCTGAATTTAACTACAGTGGGATAAAAAAGCGTTGGGCTAATATTTGGTATTTTGCCGACCTTTGGACACTAAATGCCAATAGGGCCTACACAAGACAGTGTTTACGTACTTTTTCGCTTTTAGATTACTAGGCGGACGTCGGGTGTATAATTCCATACAATGTTAGCCATTCACAGTCCATTTTGTATGTTCAAGAGGTTTGAAATTTACGAGAGACAAACTAAACATCTTAATGGCTGATACCGGTGTGACGTGACAGAGTCCATCCTTAATTTGCACAGCCCTAGATCTTGACCCACCTACGTCAGGCTAACCCTAACCTGTATAAATAAGTAGGCCCTAAAAGTTGAACTCTCTGTTACACGGTTTCGTCACAGATCTCCCTGACATTTATCCCCCAGGCGGGGGGGGGGGGGCAAACAAGACAGCACGTCGAGGCCACGACCACAGGGCAAATTTACCCAAGGGTGTGATCAATGTGGAACAGGTACAAAATGTATCTAGAACTTATTCTTTGAATGTCGACTTTAAATACCATCCAACGGGCATAATTATCTTAATGACCAATTCGTGGCAACTGTTCTCCTTCTATGTGTTTTTTAATTGAATTTCTTTTTAACACTTGCCAAGACTTTTCCAATATGAATAAAACTGGTCATTGTTTTAATCATCACTTCAGTCTTCATTTCACTTTAAGGAGAAGGGATCGTTACCCCTCCGACTTCGCTGATAGTATAATAAATTTGATGTAAGGGAAACGTACTCAAGAAAATTGAACCCGCAAATAATTCGTTCAGATTAACGGATTCTGGTGACTGATTTTCAATTTAGTACTTTCAGTAAACTGGGCAACCCATGCAGGGTTTGATAGGCATGTAGAATAATGATAATGTCAAATAAATAACTGATTAAAAGAAGTTAGAATATTGATAAATCTGAATAAAATGCAAATAAAAATATTTTACAAAATGCGTCACGGCTCTTAAGGCATTTAGCGTTTTGATTTCCGCTAAACAGTACTAGTCTGAAATGATTAACAAATCAGAATGCGTTCTCATTGGCTTCAGGCACAAGATTTTATGGTTTTAGCACCAGAATCCAACAGATACCGTAATTAAATGTTCCTCGAAACTGGAATATTTTAATCAAAAGAAAAAAACCTTTAAGGGAAGAGATGAATTATTCATGACAACGAACTTACTGGATCGCTGTGTAACATTCCACGACCACATTCCACATGTATTGATGGTTTGCAGAGGGCTTTGAGTATCCATACGGTTTAACACGCGTACCGTCCCATGTTTGGACGTCCGGAGGAAACTTCCAGGAATACGAGCCAGGCATACCAACTGCTGCGTGACGTGTAGATTTAGGTATGTCAAATTTCGTGACACTCTGCTCCCAAAATGTAAATGTGACCTGCAAATGTCACACCAAAATTGTTTAAGGGAAAAAAGTTTATGATTTGTGGATTTCAGAGGCTTCGCTGCCGATGCAAGACCATTTATATAGTGTGTCAGTCTAGAATTTCCTTCGCGCGCGCTTGTATATTTCAGAAATTACTAAATAAATAGAGGCTTGATGGCATTCCTGTTGCCATTGTCACATAGGTTAGTTTACTGCATGGCGACACATTTTTTTTCAGTAAATTGCAAATTTGGCGCATGCGCCTTTGTGCACGAATGGAAGCCGAAATGGAACAGGTTGAATATGTTGATCTAAGTGCAGTGGCCTTGGGGACAAATACCGGTTACGGAGTCTTAGGGCAAACTTAAAGCATGCAGATGATTTACAGGCGCGTTTGGAAAGTACTGAATTTGCATGAGTGAAAATATTTATATGATGAGCAATCCGCAAGCGCTGTTAGACTTGGGTTCTTCTGCCAACGCGAGCGGTACAATTAAGACGAGATGCATTCTCTAACAAGCAAATTGCTGTTGTTGTTTGCGGTATTCACTTGGAGAGCTGGTAAGCGATAGTTATGTATGTTTACTTGAATTTATATACAGAACGTGCAAATAATTCACCTAGGTATCTTTTCAGGTGATTTCACCTGAGAAAGCCTTATTCACTAAAAGGGATGCTCTGATAGACATCGAAATATTAGAGGTACATGTAATTGGTAAATTTAGCCGTTGATTGAAGAAAAATAACCGCTTTATTCTGGGTTCCCAATACACAGAAATGTGTATGTATCCATCTAATACTTCCGTTACAGATGTGTTGGTCGTGCAATGTTTGGATCTGCAGACAGAACTGGAGCGGTTAAAAGCAATAGCACAGGCCCTCTTAGCTGCCTCGATGTCCCAATCCGAGGCCGGAGCCTCGACCCCATCCGAGAACGTGACCACACCGGGACCGGGGCTCATGCAAACCATGAACATTTGCGATGGCCACCAGGAGACGCTCAGGTGTGACGAAGGGTTTGCCATTAAGATTAATGACGCATTTTACGGAAGGGATGACGAGGCCTGCGTACCATCTAACTCCAGTAATCTGGAAAACTGCGGCGCCCCTGGTGTTGCCAGTGCTTTAATTGGGAAATATTGCCAAAATTCTGGGAACGAATGCACCATTGCAGCTTTACCCAGTGCCGTCACCAATCTGACCGCGGGTGATTTCGGGAACTGCACTATGGGGGATCCCCTGTACCTGCGAGTGAATTATACCTGTGAACGTGAGTACAAACTTATAATAATAATAACATAATGCAGGCAACCTTATGAAAAAAATTAAAAGGGGAGAAAGTATATATAAAGTTGCATGCAAAGGGCCTAGAACAAATTAAGTCTGTTTTGTCTAGGATTTCTATTATGCACGTAATGACATAGACATTTTTCAGATTTTTATGGAAAATATCTAATATACTAATACAGTTTTGCGATTTACGTTGTGAACTTTAAAGGATAACATGCGACCATTCTGGCCAAAAATGGATTTTCCTGGAGTAGACGACAATTTTCATACTAAACAATGGTTAATGAATCCGTTTTGAAACTTTGTGAAACGCGTCATGGTCGGAGATAGCAAAGAAGATGTATAGACTAATTTTTATTTTTTTTAAATTTATTTATTTATGAATCGGGAACTTGATTGAGTAAAACCCCTTGCTGTTTCTTTATTAACAAATAACATCTTAAAGAAACTGTCTATTAATACGTTCTCCAATGAACATCAAATTAATGTAAAACAATGTTACAAAATTAGGACCTCTCCTTTTCATTACAATGATAAATGACATGGAATGTTTTTTTACCAGCAGTAAAGTATGTGGATGACACTACAGTTTGTGAGACAGTTCACCAACCATCTCCAAGGGAAATAGAACAAGGTGCCAAACCTACACAATCTAAACTTCCCAAAGCAGCCTCAAACCTATATGAATGGACAAAACAAAATAACATGCTAATTAATCCTAAAAAAACTGTTGAAATGTTTATCTGTTTCAGTAAAAACCCAACTGTACCTAATAATTGATGGTATAAAAATCGAACAAGTTTCACATGCCAAACTGCTGGGAGTTCATATCAGTAATTTGAAATGGGACTTGCATATAGAAAAAATTCTCTCAAAAGCTGCATCCAGACTGTATTTCTTATGCATGGTCAAACACGTTGGGGTGCCGCGATATGACCTCTTACAAATTTATAAAAGCAATCTCAGACCAACACTTGAGTACGCTTGTCAGCTATATGGCATGCTGGAATTACCGCACAGCAATCTAAAGCCTTAGAGAACATCCAAAAAAGAGCTCTTCATATTATATACCCTGAACTCACTTACAACAAAGCAATGGACATCACTGAAATACCTACCTTGAAATCTCGGGGTAATGACTTGTGCAAAAAAAATTATTTAATGAGATAAAACTGTGTACCCATAGATTAAGCCATCTTTTACCTAACACTCGTGTCATATGAGATATATCATATTAGAAAAGGACCTCAGGAATGTTTATAGATATGTTTTACCAAAATGTCGGACAAAAAGATATAGAAACACTTTTATTCCATACTGTTTATATACGTGTCAATAATCAAGGTCTATCCATGAACTTTTAGCTTTTAAAAAATTAACGAATTACCATTTTTAACTTCCTTATTATTGTTTTTATAATTTATAATTTATCTTAAAGTTCTATTCTAATACTACATCTTATATTCTTTAATACATATACATTCAATATGTGTCTTATATATTGCAAAGAACACAATAAACCTTTATTTTTATTATTATTATGTTACTCTGCAAACGTTCAAAGACTAATATTTGCTGTTAACGAAATAATTCTAAACTGGGACTCCTTTTAATGATCTTTGTACATCACACTGCCATTGTAATTATCGATCTATTCTTTCACAGTTTCATCTATTCATTTATCAAGTCCTAATTAAGTCTGTTTGTTTGTCTTATTTATTTATTCTTTATTTGCTTTCAATTAAAACGTCACGTGTATTTTATCATTTTACCGCCACAACCAATACAGCCGTCCCTACTGGTAACCCAGGTATCCCGTCATGCACCACAGAGCACGAGGGTTACATTCCAAACGGTATCTTGCTGAAGGACGGGGTGCAGATGGAGGAATGTAAGCAGCAGTGTGATTCGATAGCGAGCTGCATGGCCGTCAGTTATTTCACCAATGGCGGCGTCTGTAACATGCACACCGCGGACACCGCCTGTGGCAGCCTCGTGATGAGTGCCGGTGCCCTTCATTATAAAAGAATTATATGCGGTGGTGAGTGCGAAAACAATTCATTACTTTTTTAAGTAAGACAAATATGGAAAATTTCAGCAGTTGTATTTGGTAGAGTACCAAAGCTATAAATTTTCATTATAATATGTAAGGTCATGATTTATATCCTGTCCATATTGATTCACATGTACTATAGAGTTTATGGGCAGTTGTATCTTCAGCTGTTATAAACTGAAAAAGCTTAAGAAGTTCCGTTGTCTATGTGACAGAATGCCTCACGTCAAAGTGAGAGAAGAGTGAAAGACGCAGAGTACTCAATGAAATAGAACTTTGATAGCTTTCTTCACCCCTTTCCTGGCTGTCAACTTAGTTTCTCTAACATGCATTTACAAGCAGGCATATGAATGGTTTTATTATTAATTAATTAATTGTTATTTTTCTACATCCTGATCATATTTTCAGACTCTATCCCTAGTTCCTTCGAGTCAGCCCTCATAGGTGCGCGTTCCTACGGCGGGATTAAGGTAGCCAACCAGACGTGCCCGGAGCCCTGTCTGCGGGCCTGTGAGGCTATCCCAGAGTGTCGGGCGGTCGGCTTCGACTTAAACACTCGAGAATGTCATATGTATACGTAAGTAGAATTTGGTGCGAACTTTCAAATACTTAGTTGGTGACTTCTGCATTCGCTGTGACTTTGTCAAAAAAATTTAATTTAAGCAGACAATTGCTTCTGTTGGCAGTAATATAGATAACTGATTATGCATAATAACGTAACTTTACAGATTTGGTTTTTTTCGGGTTGTTGTTGTTGTTGGTGGTGTTTTTTATTATTATTCTTTTTAAGAAATAAAATATTGGTTTTTAATGGTTGATATAAATTGCAACATATAATNAAAAAAAATTAATTTAAGCAGACAATTGCTTCTGTTGGCAGTAATATAGATAACTGATTATGCATAATAACGTAACTTTACAGATTTGGTTTTTTTCGGGTTGTTGTTGTTGTTGGTGGTGTTTTTTATTATTATTCTTTTTAAGAAATAAAATATTGGTTTTTAATGGTTGATATAAATTGCAACATTTAATGGATTTGTTTCCGGGCTTGAGTGTTTGAAGGATGAAAAGTTGCAAAACTAAAGCCACCTCTCTCCTAAGAGAGAAGATAATATAATCTCATTTGTTGACTACTTTTTCTAATTTCTAATAAAAGCTCTAATATGTATCATATTCTTAAATTCATTTTGCGGTGGGGGAGATGTACATCGACCATTTTATTTATTTATTTATTTATTTATTTATTTATTTATTTATTTATTTTATTGCAAACTTGTGAATAACATTATATCAAACCAAGGATATATCATGTTTCGAATATTATCGTACTTTGCAAATACCTAACTATGTCACTAGATATGTTTCCACATGTTGCACATATTCTTTATAGGAGCCCAATGGAAGCTTGCGGGACCACGTATGTTGCCTCTCACTGGGCGTTCTACAAGGGGAGGAACTGCCCCCGTGTAGCTGGCACCCCACCTGGTTGTACACCTGCACAGCCCTAGCCTTAAGTCCGGAGGGCTGGGCGCCATGATGGAATACAGAGACTAAGGAAAGACCCCGAGGTGGGCGATGTTGGTAGCTTGATTGCCTGTGTTTTAGTTTTCTGTCCGTCATCTCCGTGTATTCTGGTTCCCGCTACATTGTTTACGTAACCATGTCATAATGATTGGTTCACTCCTAAGGGACAATGACCTTGCATGTAAACTATAAATTATTATTGCCATTTTTGAATCTTTAAGTTCAGACCAAACAGGCTCTAGACAAAAGTTATTATGTTACACAGGTGTAACAGGAATGAAAGTCCACTAAGAACCGTGGTCCGCTTCCTGTTACTTTGTACAGGTGACATGCATCCCATATTCTAACCCCAAAACCCCAACTAACCCTAATCCGCACAAAACATATGGCACCCCGGACTTCCTTTCCTAGGACTTCCATTCCTGTGACACCGTTGAGAGATCCCGATTGTTCTTTTCCTATCTATTTCAGATGTGATATTCAAGAAACTACCGTATATACATGTACTGTATGTACCCATTGCCTGGTTGAGACACGCAGTTCTTAGCCCAACAATGCACACACAACTAACACATCCAGTTGTAGAGGATGGCGACTTCTACAACATGCTTTGTACTGAATGATTATACATACCTGGATGCACCTGAAACCTAGGGCCAAAGGTGGACAAGTTCGCATATGGAAATAAACGCCTAAGCTAGAGTCGTAATACAAAGCTCGTTACTTATAACCATAGGCAAAACATTTATAGTGCTTACATGTCAAGTTACGGTCCAGTTGGACCAAGATTTAATTTCTCCAGACTGTGTAGATGTCGCCTACTGCTCACTCCGCCATGGATTAATGATATAACATAAGACTATAAACTGAACCAGTAACAATTAAGGCTTGTCCAATTACATCTTCATTCGTGTAATAAATTGATACACATTTAATCGAACATTTATAAGTAAAAGAATGCACACATTACTAGCTACCAAGAATTAAATAACACAGCCACAAGTGTGCTGTATTAGTATTCCTTTATCTCGATCCTCCCTAAATCAAAGTTGTTGGTTTACATGACCCACAAAAGACTCGCTTATCACTGACTGGATAAATAAACCACGATCAAAAAAAGTTATATAGTTTGTTACCATGTTCTGATACTAATTCTTATTTCTAGCAGTGAACGTGAGTGTGTAGTTGTTGTTGTTTTTGTTGTAGTCAACCAATAAAAAGTGAAGAACAGTAGTGTAGACGCAGAGAGACGGATTATTAAAAACGTGGTTGATTAAAACAAGTATATGTAATAATCCTAGACTTTTATTGTACATTGTATGTGTTTGTCTCTTTGCACTGATTAAAAACAGGACCATTTTCTATTGCCCTACAAAGAAAGCGTCATTTCCGTAACGTTGCATCATACACTAAATTACGTGCACCGCCGTCCTCATAGTCACATTTAACTTTAAGTGTGAGCCCCAGTAATAATTGTGTTGTACAGGAACGATGACATCTAAATATGTTTATCAAGTTTCACTGTTGATTCATCAATACGCTCATTGTTTTGAAAGTGTATTTCTGACAGAAATAATCTGTGTATGTCTTTATAACCAGCAGGTGTAAGTGTTAGACAGTGAATGTGTTCTCTGGTTTCGTTCAAACTTTGGATTACATAAACGCCCCCCCCCCTCCAACCCCCCAAAAAACTTACTACGGGCCTGGAAGCATAAATGTCTTCAGTTAGGATAAAGGACCAAGCATACAGCTACTTTCAAAAATTAAAAAAAATGAAGCTAGTCCCATAGTCGCAGTGATAACATTGGAGTCAAAAGTGCACATCAAGAAAGGTACCAACTCACTGACAGTCGACTTAAGTTTGATGAATAGAAAGTCCCCCGGACGTGGTGTGACTGGCAACATGACAGGCGCCATCTATATATCTTACTGGGTAGCGGCAGACGACAGACCTTTTGCTCCAGTAGTCCTACTAATGAAATGGCTTGCGTGCTAGTAAAAAAGTCATATGTCATTTTCTATTTTTGGCATAAAAAACGATAAATCATTGAACCTGGGTCTTTTTCTTTATGTAAAAAAATAATTTAATCATTATAAACACTTTACTTGTTTTGTAACTAAATTTATGACATGCCAATTATGTAAACGGGACGAAGTGGATGGTTCTTTACAACCATTGATCTAGATGCATTAATGCAAATATTTGATTGACTCTGTTTTCTATTTCGTTTTCTTGATTTGCTTGTTTGAGTGCAGCCCTTCATATCTACTACCGTTTTCAAAAATATCCCGTCATATTTTTTTCACTAAAATATTGAGAAAATTGAAAATTGTTTGTGTCTTGGGTTACGGTGGCAATGTATTAAGAATTCAATTGCGAAGCATACTCGAATAGCTCGTGTTAATAAATGCGCGTCATTATTTCATGGACAAAACACTAAAAACAAAACGTCCGCGATTTCCTCAAGAGTAGAATATGTACCTGTGCTATAATTAATTTTAGAGGAAAACGCGTACATGCCTTACCATCTTGTTTTGACGTTCTCCCCCGTAGAGAATTTTTTTGACATATTAGTCCACAATTGCACAGTGCCATTTATAAAAAATGATTGTTCTTTTATTAGATTGCACAGATAGCAACAACGGTGATTGATTTCTATAGTGAGATTTCAAAAACAAAAACGAGGAAACATGAGTAAGTTCAACAGATATACGACCCATCGAATGCTCATAAACGATGAACTTTCGTGTTACACCATACTTAGCTACAATAGACTAACTGTTATGCCGGCTGCGAACCCCTGTGGTCATTGATGCTGAAATAATTTTTGCAGTCACATAAAGGTAGAGCACACGTGCATGGGTTCGATTTGTCTTTGGTCGTTTTTAATAGTGATGATAAATGTTGCTTATTATATATTCCCGACAGCGAGAAAAAAGGTATTTTTATAACAACACAAAGAAACAAAGGTCATCTTGACATTGGAATTGTAATAGTCAATAGCCAGTTATGTTAAAATAACACTGATATCCATGTATTTACCATCTTTAAATGATACGTAATTCATTTTGTTCCTCTCGTCACTTACGATATTGTTACTTTAAATAGGTAATTGCAGACTTCGTTGTCTTCCAGCAACAGCATAGAATAAATCAATCGTTGAAGACAAGACGACGTGAAGACAAACGATGATTGTCTCACCAGTTCACCCCTTGGTCACTATAAAAGGCCCCTCGCCAATGTAACAGGTGTCAGTTGTTCATCTGGTCCTGCACCCACACGTACCACTATGAAGCTTGCACTGTTCCTGCTGGTTGCCGCCGTCGCTGTCGCTTCTACAAGCGCCTTTCTCCCAAAGTAAGTATCATTGTATATTATTCATTTATTTATTTGTTTGTTTGTTTGTTTGTTTATTTGCTTGCTTGCTTCTTTGTTAACTTGCTTTTTTGTTTGTTTCTTTTTTCATTTCTATAGCATTTCTGTCAGTTGCATTTTCTAAAATTCTGAAGATATCCATCTACTTGAAAGTTATTGATATTCAAAAGTGTTCTTGTTGGTTTGGTAAAATGTGTGGGCATTTATGCCGTTTGAGCAAGTTTTCAAAGAAATAAGAGAAACTGTTGTAATGTGTGGGCAACTTACTTCAAACCAACGTTTCTTAGACGGAATTTTGAGCGGTTTGATTTACTTGGTCTTCATTCACTGTCCGTTGCTCTTCACATGTTTTCTGACAAACTTACAAATTGTTTTCCACGAACTGTATCTTTTTTATCTAGTTCGAGTTCGTTTACGTCAAGGTACAGCACCAAGTATGTTAATTAATTTCAGGAAAGGTGCCTATCTCCACGGTCTCTATCGTTGGCGATACTATGGATTTTACAAAGGTAAGACGTAATACGTTTGTCATGATTAAGGGGTATGGTCGATCTACAAATAATAACATGACGTTCATAAGTTTCGCTGACGTCGGGTAAAAGTTTGTTTCTTATATTTGGTCCTCATTTCGTCCTCATTGTGCAATTATTGAAAATAATGTGCAGGTTCCTTTCCTCAGTTGTAATGAAGTTTGATATCTAGTGTACATCAAGTATTTGCTATGATACTTTTCTTAAACTGAGGTCTCTTGATGCCCTCCGCTGGAACATTTTCTGGCTTTATCTACAGCGAGCACGAATCAGGATCTTACTTACCATAAAACGTAAAATAATGGATGGCAACCTCTGACGTGCTGGATGATCAGCGAAAGGCTACTTCAATCTTACACCTTTTACAAGCTAAACTACCTAACCCAGACCTGTAGACAGCAATTTCAAAAGAGGGGTTCTTTTTCTGAAAAAAGTGGACCTTTTACCAGGAAACTGTCGTGTACTTAAATAAAATTATACCCAGAGGGGGCCTTTTGCCGACAAAAAGGGAGGGGGGGTGTCTTTCGCCCCCCCCCCCCCCCCCAGACTACGGGCATGATACCGATAGGACAAGAACCGTTGCCGAACCATTGCCCACCCCTTACTGATCTTTATATCACCAGGTGCCTGCGGCCCAGATGGAGTGTACGCTGCCTCCTCTACGACCCTCGTGTTCTGTACCAACGGCCGAGCTGTCTTCCAGAAGTGTGCCCCGGGCACCGCCATCAGCGGACTGAAGAAGGGCCACTTCTACACCAGGGGAGCCGTCTGCAATGTGAATCTCATTGGTTAGATGCCAGTCCAATATTGGTAGGTTTAAAGAAACGTTTAGAGCCCAAAAGTCAAAGAAGTGCAATCGGTTGATTTCATTTAGAATCAAAAAGTATCGCAAAAAAGTCAACCTAAGGGGCGGATAAGGATGAGTTAGAACGAGTTAACCAGGGCGCACTAAATCGCTGAAAAAGCGTGTTAGTCTGGTATTCTGATTGATTTCAGCGAGAATCTCCGTGGAACAAGTGCGCACTAGCGACCTATGAAATTTGGCCCAGTTCGCATATGTCTTGTGTTACTTGTTTACGTGTTTTCTCTCTCTCTCTTGCTGAGTGCGACATGGCCAGAATCTTCCATTTTGTTTTCGGTCCTTGCCCTTAATGAATTTGCCTTTATGTTTGGATGATTACATGAACGTGTGGGATGGACAGATCGTTGGAGGGGTGAATGACAGATGAAAATGTTGTGTCATGGTAATCCAGTGTTACGTATCATATAACGATATTTATTCTTTTCATCTATTTCAGAAGTTACGGCAGGCGTCGTTTCCTCTACTCCGGATGAAATTGGTCGATTCTGTACCATGTTTGACCCGTGACTTCTACAAAGATATAATAAACAACTTTTTGAAAGATTTGTGATATTTGTTCTTTTATTAAACTCGATGCTTGATGGGGACTTATTTTTATATTCTTCTATATATATGAAGTTAAAATGCATTCAATATGAGGGTGACTAAAAGCGTTACTAATTTCAAACTCATGTTTCTGCAACAGTTCATAAGTTTTTGAATACAAGTTGTGTACAATTTTTTTAAAATTATTAGTCAACCCTGGCATTTCAAGCATTGAAGTGAACGGTTTTGATATTATATTTATGTTGCAGGCCAGATTGAAATCCAGGCTGGTGTAAAATCGACCATAGTCAAATTTTATTTTCAAATGCTATGTTTGTTTTCGCAAATTCTTCCTGAAATGTAACAACTAGGTTATATAGGATACACGCTATCTTTTGTACTCATGGCCACTATAATGAAGTGGGCACCTGAAAGACAACATCATAAGAAGTGAATGGAAAAAAGCAGGAATCTCGCCTGTGTATGAGGTTAAAAACATATATATGTCATAAACAATTAAATAGTCAGGATTACATTTGTCACCTGATTTAAATCTTCCTAAGTCAAATTGGAATTTTAATCCTGAATAAATCTGAAAATAAAATTTGACTATGGTCGATTTTACACCAGCCTGGATTTCAATCTGGCTGCAACATATATATAATCATATCAAAACACCTGTCGAAAAATCCCATGACAGAGAAAACGACTTTAGTGCCTAGCTGAATTGTACTTAAACTAATGAACAGTGTGGCCTCCTTTTTACTGTCAAACATTCCGTGGCTTCTTCATCCGAGACGAAATGCACCTCCTTATGTTTCCCCTAATGTAATGTTCTTCTGTGCCTCGGTAATTGACATCTGCACCTGGCATGCCTGACACTTGATAGACAGACCTGTATCAAAACTTTCGGACACTGGCATCAGTCAGAAATGACATTTCTATGTAAGCCGGCATGGCATTTTTTATTTTTCTTTTTTTTTTTTAAGAATTTATTTATAATTATTTATTTATTTGTTTATTCATTTATTGTGTGTGTGTGTGTGTGTGTGTGTGTGTGTGTGTGTGTGCCAAAACCAAGACGGGTAGAGTCATGAAATTTATAGCAATTATTAAAAACAACATGTTCTTATAATATCCCGAATTTTATTGCAATATCTTAAAAACTGTTGAAGGCTGAACTTTTTTAGACACCCGATATAATAAGTCATTAAATGTACGCCAAATGGGTTCTGTTCTACACACACTGGACAAAAGAAGTGTCACCCCCTAACTCAGAGTAATAAAAGTAGTCATATCTTGGGTACTTATAATGCCTGGTATACTTATAATGTGACTTATGAGTATAAAACTGCTATACCATGGAATTGTATTGTTGGTCTTGTACATGTACAGCAAATGTTATTCCTGTCTTCCTCCAATATGGCAAGATACAGGCAATTATCTAACGGTTATAGGTGCAACTTATTAACCTGAAGAGGCGGAATATAAGCAATGTCGGAATATCGATACAATTGAATTGTTCAGTCAGAACCGTACAGAGGGTCTGGTCTCGGTATAGAAACACTGGATCAAGAGACAAATTGCCTCTGATGGGTCGTCCAAGAAAAAATACTGGCCGTGAAGACCGACGACTGATTTTGATGTCCAGGTTGTCAAAGTTCGACATTGCTTGTCAGTTTACAACACAGTGGAACAATTTCACATATAGGAATGTGTCTGTGAAAATTGCTAGGCGTCGGTTACATGCTCAGCGAGTGTACAGCAGGGCAGCAAGACAGAAACCTCTTATATCGTTACAGAACAGGCAACTTAGAGTAAACTAGGGTCAACAGGATCTGGAACTGGACAGTTCATGACAATTGGTCCTATATATTTTTTCTGATGAGTGTCGCTTTGGTCTGACCTCTGATGACAGACGGGTACGATGCTGGCAAACTGTTGATAAAGCATTTGAACCACATGCACTGAATTTTCGAACCCGGAGCAGCATATTCATCATGGTGTGGGGCTGCTTCAGCATCCATGGCTTGGGCGAATTGATAGTGGTTAATGGAAACATGAATCACTAGAAATATATCGATGTTTTGGAGTCAGGCTTGCTACCATCTATTACTAACATGTTTGGTGACAGGAATTATCCATTTGTTCACCAGGATGACAATGCGCCTTGTCACAGGCCCAGAGCAGTTGATGATCGGTTTGACCAACAGGACATTCGCAGGGTGATGTGGCCTGCCCAGAGTCCGGATGCACACATGATAGAAAATGTGTGGAATGCTATGTCAAAACTTTTTACAAATACCCGTCTAACCAGCAGAGAAACTCTGTTATATTTAGTGTTTCATGCCTGGGCCAGCATAAGCCCTGAACGCAGCAGACAATTATATGAAACCTTGCTTCGTAGACTGGCACCTATTATTAGGTCACGTGGCTATGCCACTAAGTACTAATTTTGGACTTGAAACTGCATATTTTGGTAAAATGTATATTTTGTTCTCATTTTGTGATCTTTTGTGAAATTTGATGTTAATAAAATGATACCAGGAGCATATCATTCCACAGTCATTTATCTCCCCCATAGTATTGGCTCAGTAGGGGTGACACTTCTTTTGTCCAGTGTGTGTAATTCCAAAAATTCACCCTCGTCTTGATATTTGATCTTTGGTAAGTAAAAAAAAAACGTCCCGTCAACAAGGTATTACAGTATTATTACAGCACCATGTAGTAGTAGAGAGTACTGGTATTCTTGAAGAAGCGCAAGATCAATCACTTTTCAAACACTCGTCATAAACATTAGTAGCTGTTGGCGGTACTGTAAAAGGGCCGTAGTGTAACGTCCTTCATTTCAGCAAACACGACATATATCTCTGACACTTCATCAATCAAACAGAAGTCGCTGCATGTAGACGATGAAAAATTACCTCTCTTAAAACATATTAGCGTGACTTTAAAATGGTCGCCGGTGTTATTCTTGTGTTTTATTTTTAGTGGCTTGTACTTTATTCTTTTCCTCTAAATTATGTGCCCCAAAGTTATGTTTTTGCTCAATAAGATATAGACAAGTACATGAGTTGAAAATAATAAGACCTGAAAAAATATCAACTAAGTAGAGTGCTGCATGTATGTATATCATTAATTAACTACATGTAAGTTTACTGGAACTTGAAGGTTACATGTACTACAGGAACTTTATAATCCGCCATGCAGTAAGTACAGAGACCGCATTCCCTTTACATGTTGTAAAGTATAAAGCAGAAGGTATTTGAGCTCGTCTCGCCCCCACCCCCTCTCCCACCCCCCTCTCCCACCCCCTCTCCCGGACTTGCTACAGGTCTGCTGGGTCAACAGACAGCCCAGTATTTAGCTGTTTCTAGAATTAATCAATAATAATAATAATAATGTTTATTTGTACCTGAAACAGTTGGATTGTACAATAATATAAATTGGTAAATTCACTAAATAAAATAAGATTAATAAAAATTGTTAATTAAAGTTGTTAATAGTTTTTGCACCATACATAATATATCTACTTAAACATCACAAATTTAAGCAAAATGTTAAAATCCTTGATTTTTTCCTTTTTTAAAAACTTGTATATGTTATATCTTGTCGCTAACTATGTATTCTTAGAAATCTTGTGAGGTGTACAGAAGATTAATTTTATGGATATTGAACTTTAAATAAATACGTAGATTACAATGCTGTATATTACATTTTCAAGTACACACTGTGTCTTTTTGGAATCACATCACATAGCATCATACACTTATATTACTTAAGTGTTTAAAGATGTTATGTTAGTTATAATTCCTCAGATACAGAATAAATAAATTCACAATACTCTCATGCTGTTTCAATAACTTGAACATGCTCTTTGTTGTGCGTATATGTATAAATACATACATATATGAATAAATATATCGCATATTGTGACGCTGTCGTCAAATTGCTTTTATAGTTCCACCTCATTTGCCTGCAGTTTCCCGGAATCCAGCAAAGTTTTCTTGGCAAGTTTCAGCAGTTTTTCTTTGGATACCTGGAGTCGGAACATCGTACGAGTTGAAATTGGATAACAAAAAGCAGTAAACCAAAAAGCGTGTATGATCAACGGTGAAATTACTCTTTACTATTGGATAAAGGCTGGGTCACACCCCGCTTGCAACCTTTTTGCAACCTCTTTGCAACCACAAAATCTGGCGGTCGCTTGCGACCACCTTGCGACCTAATTAAGAAGCTATGGCAACCTCCTTCCGACTGAGGTTGCAAAAAGGTTGCCAAAAGGTTGCAAGCGCAGTGTGATCCAGCCTTAAAGCATCTCTTCACGCATGTGGAACTACAGTATATAACTACCTAGCCAATGGCTCCCTATAATTGCTAGCTTAAACATGATTAGAAATGATAAAAGTCAGCAAGAAAGGAAATATAAATTTATAAATTTGCACAAATTACACAATTATAAAATAAATTCATTACCAGAACATTAGAGGATATTCATTACAAGAACACAAGGAAAAATGGCTTGGCATAAGTAGGTTTTAGGTATAGCACTATAAAATACCACAGTGCATACATGCAGTGTTAAATGAACACGGACCCGCAGGAGCACCCTCCCCCCCCCCCCACCCCCCCCAACACACACGCACAGAATAGGTCAAAACAGTGAATATAGTCACCTTCTGCCTGATTCCCACCCTAGGGAACGTCTCCATGACGACATAGTGGTCGGGCCACATGTAATCCAACAGCTGAAATGAGGAATTAGAGGGCTGTTATATTCATATTATGCAGAAACAATTTTAGGCTTAATGACGTCATATGTTGACCTTTCCTCTCACTGGGCCGCATTTTACGATTTGTTTATTAGGTCCGGCCACATTTAATCCAAAAGCTAAAAACATCAGGAGAGAAGGGCCATTCTAATTCATGAGGATATTAAACCTAGACTTTTGTGGGATTTGGGTCTAATTACAAAACTGAGCTACGGCAATGACGGAATAGTGCGATCAGCAACATTGAAAACTAAGTATGGAACAACAAATCGCCCTATTACGAAACTTTATCCTCTCGAAATTTCCGTTGATTATGACACTGCCCCTGACCTGAGAGAGGTCACACTGTCCAAAGAAATTACTGATGAAAACATCAAAATACCAGCCCGTAACACGAGACGCGCCGCCCAGCAAGCAAAGGAAAACATCGCTAGATGGATTCAAGAATTGAAATGAAAATGAACTTTGATTACTTATGGAACTATTAGACTGTTCAAATGAAACTGTTTGAAACATTTAATCAAGCGCATTAATGGATTATTTAACCTAACTATTGGACTATTTCTAATTAACGTTGCTTTGGACTTCGTTTTTTGTTTCAATGACAATCTATTACACAAATATTTACATTAATCAGAACTTACTGACTAGTACATCGCAAGGACTTGTTGATATGACTTACGTTTAATGGAATTTTTGGATTTCTTGCTTATTTTTATAACACTTAATGCTTTCATGTTTACTTTTACAACTTGTTGCCCCCGGAGAATGTTGGAACGTATGGAAAAAGCATGTCCATGCAAACGAAGCGCACTATCAGTTGTAGTAACGTATTTTAAAGCTAATATGTCAATGTCTGTAGTGGACATGGATTTAGTTTTAGCTCCGCCTCCTATTGCCTACTTTGTATATATTCACGCCCTGCTCATTGAGTGGGTAGTTTTTGATCAGTCTCTGTAGATAATAAACGTGTAGTTTTTCAACTCTCGTTTTTTCTCTGAACCGCATATCGACACGTACAATGTTCAAGACCACGTTAAGCAATCTGAATTCTTGGTGACGTCGTGAAGTTGGTGTCCTACCTGTCCAACATTGGCCCGATGTGAACGTTATGAGGCGTACGTTAGATTTTTATAGATTCTAAAAGTAATCATCATAGATTTTCAGTCCAGATGTCACACATCAGGGGCGTAAAGACACTATCGGTCCACATGAACCGACTCAACTCTGCGACGGACTCTTGTTAAGTGCAATCGGCTTAGCTGAGTGATATGCCTCCTTTTGCTTCTAAATTGTTCGAATATTCACCAGCTTTTCTGTATTGTGCTTCAAGCCAGGAGAAGGCGTGTTATTTTTTAAGTTGGTTGCACTCAGCGAGAATCCCAGCAGAATACACCCTTAAGGTGTCTTTATAAACTATTTCTATGCCATAGGTATGGTAGTGGTCACCAGAGCAGACAATTCCCTGACCATTAGTCTTAATGATACATGCACTGATTTCTAAGTTTTGACTATTACTGAGGACGTAATTCATTGTATCTTACGTAACTCACTGGATTTTCCACCATAATGGCTCATACTCACCTCGCTCTCGCAATGAGATCGCAGCTCACCTTCTGTTATATTTTGGCCCTGGATAGGTCTGGAGAAATAAAAAAGAAAACGTTTTATGAATATATCAAGCATGCTTTTTCGCACAAGCACCCACGCCCACATTCATACATCTTATTACCTTCCTTTTTTCACATTTCACGCAATTTTCACACTCACGCACACGCTTATATACACTCGAGTTAACACGCACACACGCACACACGCACACGCTATCACGCGATCATTCGATGTCTGTCCTATTGGACACTACAGCACTGTCAATCTTGTTTATAATGATACCAGGACGGTGAGTGTGGAATTACGCAGCGTAAATTGTAATGGACTGAAATCGTATGGACTGCGGCAAAATAATTGTACAGTTCGTATAGTAACTATAACTTTATGTTGATAACCGTCAAATTATGTTAAACTTACTAATGCACCTTTTAATATCCAAATGACATCATAAATTCACAAGTCAAATGAGTCGCTGAACAGCTCTTGTCATAGTCTACGTCATTTTCGCGAGAGGTTTGTATAGATACGTAGCAATCATTTTGGCAGATTTTGCAGCTAGGCACGTACGCGTATTTTAAAGATTGAACATACACTTCATATGGTTACTTACATAACACACAGAATGATGGTATCAAGGTCATCTTCGCCAGGTTTTCTAAATCCAACTGCCTAAACCAAGCAAAAAGATCTTCATTATCATCATCATCATAATTATAATTATAATAATATATGTGTTCCGTTCCCAGAAAAGTGAGTCCTTTTGTTGATATGTCATCGATTTCCTGGGCAATGGATATATTGAGCATCCTTGTGATGGTCGGAAGCACTTTCCAAGAACAAATACAACATTAAGCGATATAAAACGTGCGTGAGCGCATTTTCAGAAACAGAAACAGAGCCGTTATTTTCCTTTAATTATATTATAGCTATGATTATCACTGTTTCATGGCAAAATGTCCTGTTTCAGAACACAAATGTTCGTAAACGACCACTCGACTGTTCCGATCATGCGTGTATTTCTATAATATATGTATATATGTCGTGAGACATACAGTTGTAAGTACTGATATCATATTATTAATGGAAATTTTCGGTATTAATGACGTTGCTTATACCAAAAGGAGTTAGTCAAGTTGTTTTAGAGAGTGTGCTCCAGACTTCCCCACAACCGTTCCCCTACAGGCCTCTTTCTCTCTTTCTCTCTCTCACCTGTGCCAGACTGATTTTAGGATGTTTTGCTGCTGCAATCTCTATAGCAGCAGGATAAACCTTGTCGCCCCAGCGAGAAAAATGGAGTACATGAAATTTCCGCCCAGTGTAGTACATAAACCCGTATTCATTCATCGTACCAATGTCTCTGGGGTATGGAATAGAAAATGATTGATTGGATCGGGATTACCATACGATTCGCAAACACCCCACATGTGTTATTTCTTTCATTAAAAGTTTATAAACATGTCAAAACATATTAAGGGTGTTAGTTGCAGTTACATTAAGCACTACGATATGTCACAACTTTGACACCCTCACACTGCTAAGTCACAATTATCACACTCAACCAGTGTGTTGTCACAACTATCACACTCACCCAGTGTGCTGTCACAACTATCA